CATCATCGTCGTCGTCGTCACCACCACCACCACCACCACCACCACCACCACCACCACCACCACCACCACCACCACCACCACCACCATCATCATCATCATCATCATCATCACCACCACCACCACCACCACCACCACCACCACCACCACCACCACCATCATCATCATCATCATCATCATCATCACCACCACCACCACCACCACCAGCCTGACTACGTCCACTACAGGACAAAGGCCTCTCCCATGTTCCGCCAGTCAACCCGCTCCTGTGCTCGCTGCTGCCAATTTATACCCGCCAATAATCACGAGGGCGTGGCTTCCATTCCTGGTCACGGCGGCCACATTTCGGTGTGGGTGAAGCACAGTAACGCTCGTGTATACTTATACTTACGTGCGTGCTAAAGAAGGCACAAGTGGTTTAAACTAATCCAGGGTATCGACAACGGCATACCTCATAATATTCCCTGGTTTGGACAATAAGAGCTCATAGGCTTTTGACTGCCTAAGCTGCCTCTGTCATCGGTGCTTGGCTGCCGACCCGATAGATCAATCCCAGCTGCGGTTGTCGCATTTCGATGGAAACGGAACGCTATAGAGGCTTGTGCGTTATCAGCACACGCTATAGGAAACCGCATCTCCAAATTTGCGGAGCCCTTCACTACGTCGTCCCTCATAATCATATAAGGGTTTTGGCACAACGAACCCCCATTGTCTTTGTCTGCTCATTAACGAACTGCAGGGAAACGATAAACGTCGAGAAAAGGAGCTCGTTCGCTGCCAAGTCCGGCGACGAAAACGCTAGCGCGAAAAGTTTTCCCCACAGTCCACATGCGCTTGCTAGTGCGTCCTGCCGAAAGGCTTACTCGGCTAATGTGGCCACGACATAGTCAAACGACAGAGCAGCTTACACACTGAATATCGCCTCGCGTGAGGACAAGCAGAACGGTCGCGATGGCCGCGGGGGACGTTATTGCCGAGCGCGCCACCAGAATCGGTTGGGACGAAATTGGCGCGCACAGCGTCGAAGGCCGGCAAAGCCACGTCATGGCTGTCATCAGCGACTGACCGGAAGCTGGACCGGCGATTGCATTGCGCACGCGAGCTGACCCCCTGCGGAGCCGCCGGACGAACCCTCCCGTTCCTCGCGAGATTGCTGGCGCGCACCTCGCGGCAAATAATGGCGGACCACGGCGACCGACGCGTGCGCTAATGAAGCTCCATCATCGAAGTCCAGCGATCACGAGGAACATGGCGGGTTCACGCCCGCCATTACCCGTCGACGTGTTACATGCACGACATCACACACACACACACACACACACACACACACACACACACACACACACACACACACACACACACACACACACACACACACACACACACACACACACACACACACGCACACACACACACACACGCACGCACGCACACACACGCACGCACGCACACACTACTTGTATAGCGTCGCAGCATGGCATACGGGAGCAAGAGTGTGAAATATAAAGCATGGCAAACATTTTTGTTTCTTTTATTTCTCGTTGCCTGTCACCGAATTTACGATAAGAATCCTCGTACCTTTCTAGCCATACTACACACGTATACCTTCACTTAGGGGAAAAAGCATTAACGAATGAGTTACGTTTATTCATTCCCTGTTCATTTCTGATTTTCTCAAGAAATATTGTAATATTTCTTAGCTTAACGAGACTGGTCATCATACTTAGTTTTCTAGATGTCACAAAGCAAGGAAGTAGTGCCTCGTATTGCCTTCACCCTTGTAGTATGGTTCTTGTATGGTCACAGTTTTTGAAACCCGTTGTATATATTTCCCCTCACTTTCATTGTACTATTATAAGTATAAGAACTGTTAATTAACTAACTTATTCTTAAAGGCTGCTTTACGCAAACTTAGTGCGTAGAATTTAAGGCCCTTACACGGCCACCTTATGGCACTCACAGTCAGCTTACAGCCACCTTACATACATTGGTCACCATATTGTGTCGTGGGGCTCTCTGTCCACCACTGGGCACTGTGCCGTCAACCATGATACATAATCATCATCATTATCAAAACATTGTGCGGGCCCTCCGAGATTCGCTTTTTTAAACTGCGCACATCTAGACGTCACTCTTTGATGTCATGATCTGCCACTCGCCCCAGACCGCACTTCCTTTCATGTCATCAGCTGCCCTCGCCCAACGTCACTCTTTCATGCATGATCGCCCTCGCCCAGACTGCACTCTTTTTCATGTCATGATCTGCCACTCGCCCAGACGTCACTCTTTCATGTCATGATCTGCCACTCGCCCAGACGTCACTCTTTCATGTCATGATCTGCCACTCGCCCAGACGTCACTCTTTCATGTCATGATCTGCCACTCGTCCAGACGTCCTTATTCATGATTCCACTCGTCCAGACGTATTTCATCAGAATGTATACCGACGCATCGCTCAACGGTATACGAGCAGCACGTCTGCGGAGAGCTCAGTAGCTCGCGATGACGAAATCGATACTTTAAATGCGGGGATGCCAGAGGGAATCTCAAAGTAATCCGCAATTGCGATAAAGAGCAAGAGTGAAACCACGAGGTAATTGCAACGACAAAAAGAGTTTCCCGGGAGATTCCTCTGTTCTATAAAGTGTATGCTAATAGACCGGGTGCTGCTACGGCCAAAGCGAGACGAACCCGAACAGCGAAAAACTGCGCGGAGCTTTTTTGTGCATGATTTCATCGGCGCCCGGCACCAATCTTCACGGCCTTCCTCTTCTTCTTCGGCTCCAATTTTGCGCCTTACCGCTCCTTTTATACTCCCGCGCTTCACCCGCCACCTTCGAAAGCAAGGGTTTCGCCCCTAATTCTCCTACTCCTCCCGTTTCTATAGTTTTATTTTTTTTTACCCGGTCGCTTATTAAGTTTGCCTCTCATCGCCACAGGAGTGGCGTCAAATTCCGGTCTCCGATCATAAATTCACGACTGCGGGAACATTCTCTGGGGGGAAGGCAGTAGCGGGGAACGATATAGGGGCAGTTTCCCACTAAGAATTTCTCCCTCATTTTCACCTCGTGCCTGCGGGTATGTGTATCGTCGCCGCGGGAACCGACGGACGCTGCAACCGCCCTCCATCAATGGAACCAAAGCTAAGCTTGCGGGAAAGGGCTATATCATCCCGGCGTAGACTCTGATAGAGTAAAAAAGGAGAACAGTCCGGTCCGTGTCTCCCGGTACAAAACAGAAAGAACGAAAACGCGCGTTTGAGGAGCTAGACGAAGTCGACGAAGGAGTCGAGATCAGAAACGCTGGTGACGAGATGGAGAGAGAGCGCCGAACGCAACCGAACGCGCGGGCGGCTTTGATGACGCCTATCCGGACTCCGTTGTGGTGTATATAGCAACGACTTCCGTATATATAGGCTCAAAAGGAGAGCCTGTCGCCGGGTGTGTGCGTATATAGTATAGCCGCGCAGCATATATATAGCGACAAGGTAAAAAAAACAAAAGCGTAGAGCTTCGAAAACGTCAAGAAAAGTTCATAAAGTTTTTCCCTTCTCCTCCGCCCTTCCGCCACCGTCGTCGATTATGAGAACGCGTGCGCGTGTTCGGCGGTATAACAGATTTTTTTTTTTACTTTTTTCTGCATAGAGATGCGATCAGACACGCGGGCGCGTCTTCCATTCTTCCGCAGCGCTGTGTGGTGGCCGATCCTCAAGGCGCGTCTCTTTTGCCGGTTGCGCATGCCGCCGCAACCATTATCATTCCTCCGGTCTGCTCCTATAGCGGGGTCGTCGAGCGTGGGCGCTACACCGGCCTACGAACGAGTGCGGTACAAAATCGGCGAGCTATTAACATTTATCCGCTTATAATTCTTTGCTTCATTTTTCGCCGCATATAGGCACCGCGGTATATAATCCGAGAGGAGAGCGCCGGTCGAACGACGTCCTCCTTCTTTTGTTTTTTTGTTGTTATTTCTGTGTCGCCGAAAATTTGTGCGCGTGGAGGGGTTCGCCGTTGACAAATGGTTTCCTCGAAAGAGGCTCTTGTCACGACGCGCGTACTGCGTTGGCGTCGCCACGACGTAGCGTTGTATGTACACTTAATCGCCTATGCTGGGGCACGCGACTGAATGGCTGTTGCCTGAGTTCCAATGCTGGATAGCATCAGCATATGCGGACAGCTGAAAAGACAGCGTCTAACCCTATAGTACTCCGAGAAAGAGAACTCGTCTAGATGACGTCTGTGCGGCATGACACGTACCATCTCACGTGTCAAATGAATGATAACGAAAACGTAATTATCGCTATAAGGTTCGTGTTAAAATCCACGAAAAAAATTAACTTGGCCTACGTTGAGCACCTGGAAAAGCGTCCGCTAGTGTGCGGGCAACATATCGGCGAGATCCAATTTATCTGAGAATTCCGTTCAATCTTGTTTAGACAGCAAAGCAACCTACATCGTATTTGCCTCCGATGTCATCTTCGCGAAGCTGCCAAGTTATTTTGCCGGCTACGAGAGAATGGGAATGAGGCTTAAGATGGCCGCTATCAGCTTAGACATCTATTTACCCATCTGCGGTGGGTATTTGAACAACACATTCCGGACGCCCACATTTCGTCAGATGCCAGCAGCAGTGAAGGCGCGTAGTGACCCCCTCCTCAACGTATACTCTCTGAGGCGATCATCGGCCGGCGAGCGACTCACGCGAATCTGATGACGTCACCAGCTGCCTTCGGAACAGTACAGCAGGCCGACGCGAGCTCGTGCGAACTGCAGCGACAAGAGCATTTGGACAGCGCCGAAGTATTTCTGCTGCATTGAAAGCCGGATTTTCGTTTATGTTTATACCGTTCTCCGTTAGTAAATCCTTTCCTAAAAGATGGGAACAAGGCAAAGAAAGATATTTATATTCCAAGAATAAGCCATAGCTGGTCTCGTTCTCAATCGCTTACTTTGACGGTCATTCAACACTCAACATCTCGATTGGTTAATCAGCCCTCTCCTTACCTGATGCAGATCGGTGTGGAGAGGGGGAGAGCCACGCTTCCCGCACGCGCTACCATCGATACACGAGGTGGTACGTACCTGCGAGTAAGAGAAATGAGGAAAACCAACTCAGCGAGAATTCTCATGTATATAGTCAATGTCTAAGAAAACAAGCACCCCCCTATATCGCTCAGCACTGTTGAGTTGGTGAACAGAAAATATAAGAGAAATACTGGCCATTTCTTGAAAAGGCGAGGACATGGTATTCCACCTATTATCGAGTTTCATCGTATTTTCAATGTCCAATCAATCAATCAATCAATCAATCAATCAATCACCGTAATATCCAGGGAGAAAAGGGCATGGGGGTTCAGCCATCACCACTATTTTTTTTAAGCTTACGTGTGCAAATCCAGGCACATATACAAACGCACACATCAACGCACATAAAGTGTGGTGGATGCTCCCCAACCTTCAAATTGCTGCTTAATCTATTAACATAACTCAATCAATCAATATAGTTTATAATCATTGTTCCACGTAATATTCATTCATTCGTTTATACGTGGCATCGTGGAAGCAGCAGCCATTAGTTGATCACGAGTGATGAAATCGTTGTTCACGCATCGAATTAGCACTGAACAATTATATGAGGCCAATCTTGTCAGCGACGCATAAACCAACTACAATATATATATATAGTATATTATATTATATATATATATAGATAGATATTATATATATATTATATATTTTTCACTAACTCCCCAATCATATTAACTCTTGCAAAGCGAAGTCTACCTGCGAAGGCCCACGCAGCGTATTTCCTGGTGTGGCTAGCACTAGCTTTATGCTTCGCCTAACTTCGAAAGCCGCACTCCCCGTAGAATTCCCGCAGGACGACGAAGGGTGTACCCGACCCTGTAGCCACTTCAGTGCGTATGCTTGTACACAGGCACGGTACCGCTATGCGGTGGGTGGTGTTTGGCTGTTCTTTTTAGACGAGATTGTCGGTCGGCGGTTACACCAGTGGTCACTTTTAAGATGAGGAGGCCCACGAGTGCGATCATATGCACGTTAAAGAACCTCAGGTGGTCAAAATTTCCGGAGCCCTCCACTACGGCGTCTCTCATAATCATATGGTGGTTTTGGGACGTTAAACCCCACAAATCAATCAATCAATCAATCAACGAGTGCGATCGATGTTTGTATGCTCATATCATGATCGCTGACGACCTTCTGCGCCACCTCCATGGCACATCGAAAAAGAGACCGCGTACTTCAGCTTTGGCGAAAACGGCATTTCTAAATATGACTTTTTTCCAAATTTAGCTGGTGCTGACACGATTGCTTGAAGTTATCCTTTTTCCAAATATAGCTGGGCATAGCATGATGTCTCCTTCTGCATGCTATGCCCAAGTGGCAGAATAACGAGTAAGCAGTGGTTTCCTAACAACTTTCGTACTTTGTGAGTTGTTCCGAAACAAGATGTCACTGGACACGTCTAAAATGCGAGGCATCTCGCCGCGAATCTACACGATCTAACAGTCAAAGGAAGACAAGAAAGATTCGCGAATCACCAACACCGGGAACTCATATTCGCGGAGCATTGAAATCCAGTCAAACAACCACACTTTACAGGGTAAAAATAGACAAAGTACATTGCTAAATAAATGCGCTGGCTGTCTGTAGAAATATCAACTATTCTATTTTAATTCTGGGAGCATGTCTAGAAAGATAATGGGCATCGTGACCGATCCATTGTTCATATACAGCACAATGAAATTATCATATAATGGAGGTAGTATACTATCATGCATGGGTGTAATGTATACAATGCACTGTTTTCAGCAGCTCATTTTGGTTGGCAACTAAATGCTCAGCACCTTCGCCCGCTGATTAGCACACGTGAGATCATCAAGGTTTCAGCGAGACGCGCTTGCAGTGCTGTACTTCGCTATACGTGATAACAGGAGCGAGATAGGAGTCGAGAAAAAATATATAGCCATAAAAAAAAAGAAAGACGAAACCAAAACCTTGCGTAAATTTAAGAACAACTGGGGCGCTTCGTCGCACATTGCATAAAGGCGAAACAGCCTGCCTTTTGTGGTTACATTAAAGCAAAAAGGAATGAATCTTTCACGCAGCCAGAATACTATATATATACTGCTCGGTAAAACTTCGTAGAGGGTCGAATACCGCACAGACACCGACTTTTATCCCCGTATAGCCCAGATACAAATAAGGGGAGCTCAAGTTACTTTCTTATGGCGTTCCCGAAATAAAGCAGATGCAAAGGGCAAATACTTCGAGAGAACAATAGACGAACTAGCCATCCCTCCCCTCCTCAATAAAAAAAGAAAGTAAGTGTTTCAGCGTAGCCGAGCACTTCTCCTCTAAGGAGTGTTAAACACGCCGCGAGCTCATCTACACCAGGTCACGTCTCCGAGAGCTTGTAAAAGGCGCCGAAAAGCGCATCTCGCGCGGAGCAAAGCGCGATGGAGGAGGAGGAGGAGGAGGAGAGGAGGAGGAGAAGAGGCAGACTCGTAAATAAGTCCTCGGAAGAAAAGAAGAGAGTGCCGTGCTCCTCCGTGTCACGGCACATCTCGAAGGGAGCAAGCAACGACGCCACGAAGAAGCCCTCCCGCCGAAGATCGAAACTCGGGGCACGTGTAATGGCACGTGTAAAAAGGGCAGCCGGTGCACGTTTAGTCGGCCGGCTCGGCTTGTACACGCTGTGTTGTACACATCGTGCGGCGCGTAACTTGGCCTCCTCGCGTTTGTGGCGAACACGCATCATTGCTCTCCAGAAGGGCGCGCTCGTCACGAAAACAGCGCCGAGGCTTCGGAGGAGGTGAAAACCCCCGGCTTGCAGGCTCGGCGCGAGGGCGATGTTCTTTTTACGGGCAACCCCCGCGTCGGATATATAGTGCCCTATCACCGAACCGTAAGCGCGGGACGGCCTGTATATAGTCTCCTTGTTTGCAGGATGCGAGTCATCAGGCGCGACATGCTCCTAGCATCTTTGGCTTTTCGGCTAGATAGAGCGCGTGGTGATGATAGACACGAGACTGAGGAGGACGAAGAGAAAAAAAAAGAATTTGAAGGGTTGCAGGCAGTACTATAGGAATAAGCTTTTAATACCTGGTCTTTTACGCGCCAAAACCAGGATATAGTTATGAGAGACGCCGTATAGCGGAAAGTTCCGGAAATTTCGACCAATTTGGGTCTTTTAACGAGCACCAGAATCTAAGTACATGGGCATCGAGGCCCATGGAGACGAAAGTGCTTGATCAAGCACTTTCGTATATCGAAAATGCGATCACCGCAGCCGGAATTCGATTCCGCGTCCTTCGGGTCAGTTGTCCAGCACCATAATTACTAGACCGCCACTGTAGGTTGGGATGTGATCGCCTGGAACGTCATCAACTCACGTGGTGATGGCTCATGAAAGAGAGTGAGAAGTCAGCGCACTATAGTTGCGTGGAGAAAAATAATGTATTGCAAGAGTGTTCAACGGTGAGACTGCCCAGATTGTGCGTGACTTTGCCGAAGACAGCAAAGGAATCCAAGAACGACGTTTGCAGTCAACAACTGCATAACTTGGGGCAGAGGGAAGAAGTTGGGGACCTTGCTTTTTATTTTCTCACACGTATACGCTAAACAGAGCCTTCCCTCTACGGAATAATGTTGAAGTCTGGGTCACTTAAGACCATCTACATGGACTGTCGTCATCATTTCTGAGCAGACCGCAGAGTGATTCTTCGACAGCGAACAAGAAGCGAGAACTTTCGTCTCCAACTTCCGAGCACTCGGTGTTTGGGCAGTTCATTTCTCTCTCACGGTACGACTGCACTCAGACACGTGCGAACTGGGAACGGAACTCGGCAACCTGCTGTCAGTATCTCACTGCGTTTCGAGCACATATTTTCACGAGGTGGAAAGGGAGGGCACTCTTATATGGCAACTAACGCGCGGGGCAAAAGGGGGAAAGCCACGGTTGCGAACACACATATACACGTTGACAGACCATCGTTCACGCCGAGTGGGGTCGAACGGACCTCATATATACACACATGCGCCGCTCTCCCCAAACACTTTGGCCGCGCGTCGACGACCAGCAACGATCGGAACACATCGTTAACGGCCTCGACGAGCGGGCAATCGGGGGCGGAGTCGCTGACCATCGCCGCCGACAGCCATTACGTGGACGCCACTGGGCGGCCAATCAGAAATGCATTAGGAACCGCCGATGACGACGACCAGGCCACGCTATATTGCCGGTCGACGCGCGCGAGCGAACCTAATGGAGCGAGGCAACCGCGGTAACTGTGGCCTCCGCGGGACGCCCCCCGAACGGTCTTTGCCGAATCCGGAAAGTTCGTGGCAAGTTCCGTGACGCTCTCTTGGAAGCAGTATACTGTAGCACTTTGAAGTGAAAGCCTCTTGAGGATCGTTCTTCAACGATGCCGTTTCGACCACTTCGTATTGGCCCAGCTCACCGGGATCTGGTATACCGAGAGCCACTCCACCGACCGAGGGTATATCCCGACTTAAAACTGGTCACGTTCCTATGAACTGCCGATTCTGAAAGCGACCCAGCGCTGCTCTGCATTGACAATAATCTGAAAAGGAACTTTCAGTTTCGGTGTTACATTTCAGTTAGTATACCTCTTCACGCCGTAGCGGAATTACATGAACGTTGAAGTGGCAAGACGGGACATATGACCCTTCTTGCTCTTTCGCCGTGCATATGATTCTTCACGCTACAGCGTGAATTATGCATACTATATACCAACTAACCCATCAGTCTGTTGCTCCGGTATGCGTTTGACACAGCGTGTCACCTCAACAGACTACAGTCAATGTAACTTCTGTTCAACGAAGACACCCTATATAGGCAATATATAAGGAATTCTGTTCTCACATCGTCCTTAGAAATTGTTTGAAACATCTATCATGCACTAATCTCGTGCCATTCTTTTTTAGGGGCGAAGCTCCTTATGGCATGGGTCTGTCTCTCCTCCTCCTCATGTATGTATGTATGTATGTATGTATGTATGTATGTATGTATGTATGTATGTATGTATGTATGTATG